TCGGAAAAATCAGAAATGAAATTTGGGAAATGGAATGAAAAACTTGGTTCCAAAGTCGATTTATTTTGGTTCGGAGTCGGTGGAGTTTGGAAATTTCCAATTTTTGGTCACCTAAATAAGAGACACCTCATAATATTGATATTTTAAGTGTAATATTCGGGGAAAAAAATGGAATTTTTGGAATTATTTTGAAACTGAAAATCGGATTGGAAATCAAAATCTCATATATACTCCAATTCCACCCAATTATAATTTCGGGAAATCAGAAATTTCGGAATGAAAAATATTGTTTCAGAATCGAAAAATTTTGGATCGTAATCAACGGAAATCGAAAATTACGTTCCAATTTTCATCCCTAATTATATATGATCAAAATAGGATAAAGAATGAACCAACCTTTTGCAATTCCAGTGATGATAGAAACCCTAGTAGGCCAATCAAGAACATCACTGCGATCATCTTCAACGTCGAGATATCGAGACAAATTACCCTTCGTCGCGAATTCGTAAATCAAGAAACACTCACCCCTAGCATTCGACCAACAAAACCCCTTCAACCTAACAAGATTCTCATGCCTCATAGTATCCAACAACCTTAATCCCCTCAAAAACTCGTCCTCCTCCGCTTTGCAGCTCGTCTTATTAATACTTTTAATCGCAACCGTCGTTCCATCTTTCAACATCCCCTTATAAACGGCCGAGAATTTGCTCCTCCCCAATAGATTCCCCTCCGAGAAATGCTGAGTCGCCGATTCCACCTCCGACGAGTTAAACCTAAACCCACTATCAAGACTCGGTGGGTCCCACCCCTTGGAGTACTCAAGAGAAACAAGAGGTGACGGACTTCTCTTGTAGAAATCCTTCGCCCCCCGGTCGACGCTAAGAATTTCGTCGCAAGAATCCGATTTGTTGCTAATTTTCTGTTTCCGTCGGCGCCGACGGAAAATAGCGACGAAAACAAACGCGGTTATTATTGTGGCGGCGAGTGCGGCTGCTCCGGCGACTATTCCGATTTGCGGCAACTTCGATGATGACGACTTGGCGCAATGCGATTGGTTGCAAGGTAGCGGGAAAGCGGCTGATTGGGGTATATTTGCAGGGGATGTTTTATTCGTTATAATTACCGACGAATTATTCCGAGTGATGTCATTATTAAGGTTGTCCCAAGGGGTGCAATTTCTCAAAGAAGAGAAGCCATTGCCACATAAACCAGGGTTGTTACCAAAATTGAACCCTTCACTCATCTTCCTCAAACCTTCATTAATTCAAGAAACGTCACTAATTATAATTATTATAATTTTTTTAAAAAAAATTGGAAAAAATCGAGGAAAAGATGAAAAAAGCTAACCGGAAGGGACGACACCGGAAAGTGAGTTGTTTTGGAGATCAAGAACTTGTAATGAAGGAAGATTGGCCAATGTGAGAGGAATTGGACCAGAGAGATAATTGAAGCTTAAATAAAGCCTTTTTAGCAACAACAAATCTCCTAAATTTGAAGGAATTTGGCCAGTTAATTTATTGCTTTCTAATGCAAGAACACTTAGTTTTTTCAAGAAGCCCATTTCTGTTGGTATTGTCCCTGTCAAATGGTTACAACACAGCTGCAACACTGCAAAAAAGTTATATCAAATTCAGTCAATAATTCAACTTTAGAAAAAAAGAATTTTTTTTCAAAAGATCTTGATAACTAATAAATAAATAAAGAAAGAAATAAAACCTACGAATATAAGATAGGGTAAGTTAGTCACCCTGAAGTAAGGTCAAATTACGAAAAAATACCCCATGTTTGGGTAATTACAACCATCCCTTAACCCTCAAAAAAAAAAAAAAAACAACCATCCCTTAACTATGAATTTTCTTACACAGTCTACCTGGTGTTAAATCCATCATAATATCTGTGAAATGTTTTCTAATTTGTATTCATTTTGTGCAAAAATGCAGTTTCAAATGCACCACAATCTGATATTTAGAAGCCAATATACACATCTTATGATCAACTTGTTTCTAAATGTGGGGCTGAAATGGGATAAAACGGGTACAAACTAAAGAATATGTCACACAATCTAAAAGATTCTACTAAATTTGACAATTCTCACCGAAAGGGGCGGGCATGTAAGAAAATTCATAGTTGAGGAAAATGACTGTATTTCTCCGACAAGAAGGGTATTTTCGTAATTTGAAATCAATCAATCCCATCAATAATACCAAACGAGGACTAAAAGGAATTGAATTAGACAAACCTTGAAGACTAGCCATGCTTCCAATTTGAGAAGGTATAATCCCACTTAAATTATTGACATTGAGATAAAGATCGGTGAGCTCGGTGAGATTAGCAATCTCCTTCGGTATTCCCCCACTCAACGAATTGTAGTGCAAGTACAGACCCGACAAGCACTTCAGCTCCGCCACCGCCGCCGGCACTTTTCCGGCGAGCCCTTTTCCCTGCAGGGATATGTTGGCCACTTTCCGGTGCTCGTTGCAGGCCACTCCCTCGAACGCGCCGCCGCACGGGTCGCCGTCGGCCGTCCACGAGGATAGGTACTTGTTTTCTGGGTCCAGAGACGACTTGATCTCCATCAACGCTCTCACCTCTGCGTTTCCGAAAGCTGAGTTTATGAAGTAATTTGAACATGACAGAGTTACCAGGAAGAGAGAGAAGAGAGATTTTTGTGGGTTCTGCATTTCTTTCTTTTTTTCAAGAATCAAGATTGGTTTTTTTTTTCAATTTCTTGATTTTTTTTTTCAAGAATCTAGACTTTTTTTTTTTTTTTGGTAGTATTGAAGAGATGAATTATTGAGGTTTTTTTACTGGAAAATTGGAACTTGTTTTGAAATTTCCATTATTAGTGTGTGTACTGTGTGTTTTAGAGAGAGAGAGAG